CAGATCCCCATGGCCAGGCCGACAAATAGGCACACACACACATAAAATGCATACGAGAGTCTTCCCCATGGCTTCTTGCATGGCTTTCTTGATCTCCCCGGTGTTCCTCATTGCCGGTGTATACAGGTTGGCATCTTGATTAATACACATGTTGGTTGGCAGGATTACGATAAAATACACTCCAAAGCAAAACACTGCAGGCTTGTATTGGCAATCTTCACAAACACATTCAATAAGAGTTTATAAATTTATAACCTTGTTCAACTCCATGGCAGTGTGTTGTAAAAGCGGTAGGCTTCGCTGCAGTATTGAAACGATACAATCCAAGGGTCTCAGGGGTTCGAGACACATCACCCAAGCGAGTGCGGACATCCTCGAAGGTATCATACGAAGCCTGGGCCGCTTGCAGCTTCTTCTCCAATGAGGACACCAACCTGGGCAGCATGACGGACGGAAAATGATCTATATATAAAACAGGTTGCACACATGCCCTTGAAAAAGGAAGTTGAACATGGCGAATTCGAGCGATAAGTAAACCAATGTCAAGGTTTGAGTTTCAGACTTGCTGGATCGATCTTTGTCACCCTCACCAATGTCCTCATTGCAGAGACCCTCCAATTTGGAAATCAGATCGGTGATCTTCGACATCTTGACGAGCATACCGGCAGAGAATTTGTTCTCCACTTCCAGTTCCTAAGCTCCAAAATGACCCCCACCATATATGTATAGAACACTTCACTCACAAAGGCCCAATAGTTGTCAAACAACTAGTTAACTCCATGCGTTTTGGAAATCGGGCCGAATCTCACCATCTTCAGGCGCTTGGGGAGGATGAACCTCCTCGGATTCTTTGGCAGGCGCTGCTGGGGTATGCCAGTCTCCAGATAGGGTCACTGCTTCACTCCCCTGCAGAACCAGAGTCAGTTTTGGTCGAAACATTGATCGATTTAAATGCAAAAGATCTTTTGTCGATATTATTTCACTTGTCTTTTGCAGAAAACACACTTAATAAAAAGGCTGCCTCCGCAGTTGACCTTTGTGTCTCAATCTCGGTGTAGCTCTTCTTGGTCGTTTCCGTCTCTGAATATTCGACAAAGTACTTGAACACCTTGCTGCTGTACTTGTCATTCCTTGTTGGATCATGGTGACATGATGTCAGAGGGTTGCTTCTATAGGTGTGATCGGCATGCCACATAACAACTTCAACGTCGCTGAAGATGTTTGCGTGCTTTCAAACAAATTGCATGGTTCCCCAATGTTATAGGATGATGTTTGTCCAACTCGAGTTGGTTCTGTTAGCGCCATTTTCGCCGGGACTCTTCACCAAGCCATGTTTCTTGCAGTAGGCCACCACCTCCTTGATGTAGCTCCTCGGAGCTGGTAAGGTCCATAGGGTCAAAGGTCTGACATGGAGTTTGCATGGAACTTCTTTGGGCAAAGTCCAGCTATATAACACAATATAATTTGTTGAAACTGTTTAGTACAAATTGCGCCAAGGATCGAAGACCACTTCAACTCATTCTTCATTTGCTCGATGGTGAACCAACCACGTTTGACCTTCTGTGTATCTTCCTTCTTGCGCTCAATGATCTTGACCACTTGGGACACAAACTTTTCCTTGCAGGGATAAGTGCCTGAAACAGTGGCTAAATTTAGCCTCTGTTTTGGGGCTCTATTTTGGAACATAGGGTGAACAAAAACTTTGTTCATGGTGCAACTTGAACCCCTCAAGATATCTATAGATGGTTGCATCAATAAGAGTCTATAAAACCATATGGCCATATGGGTCCTTGTTCAAGTCATACTGCTCGAACATGACACGAAGTTCATCTCTGTCTTTGCCCCCTTTGAGCCACAATTCATGAACTGCCATAGGGACGTTGAGCTTACCAGAGGGCTTCTTTTCGCAGAGCCTGCGCAACTGTGCATCGATCTTCTTGTAGCGCTTGACGGCGTCTGCAGCATCTAGCTCTGCCTTAGCCAGTTTTTGCGTTGGAGTAGCAGTTGTTGCAATTAATTTTAGCGTGTTGCTGACATCTATTTGTTCATGCTTCTATAGTAAGTTCAAGAACCCAACATATAAAGGGCACACGTACTATACAAGGTCGCCTGTGTAAAAAACAACGCACATTCCACGAGAGGTTGAAAGGGCTTAAAAACGAAAGGACTTGTGACACCTTTTGTTTTTAAGCCCTTTCAACCTCTCCTGGTTCAATCCCGTGGCCAGGAAACGTCGGCTTCAGGCTGCTCAGGCTTCGATTTGGGCTCTGAGGGGAGGGAGCCTTTGGAAGTAGGTGTTGGCACTGAAGTGCGAGTAGTCGGGGTCTTGGGCGTCCCGGAAACCGACTCACCCCTGCTCAACGTATCGATCGTTGAGAGCGCAGCCGCAAGTTGTTTCTGAAGATCCCGCACCACTGGGTCATCCTAAGGAACCGCGTGAACACACAAACAGATTCAACTTTAAATGATACAACGTTCATCCACCAGATTATATATATAAGGTTCACCTTTGCTGTATCATCGTTGATCATCGGTGTCTGAAATATCATTGAGGTTTTTACCTTGCATGACCTGGGTGTCTTGCGTACATATATATACTATAGTGGTTGGCCCAAACATTAGTGCAAAGCACCTCCACACAGCAGAAGGACATTATAAATAACAGATGGAAGCAGTGCGAGTTTCAGTCTCCGGTGTCTCTGCTGCAAAAGGTGGCTTCGCCTTGCTCTTCACCGATGTCATGCGAAGCTCAGCAGCAGCATCCTGAGCACAAGGGGTTCTGTATGAGACAACATGCCATTAGCAGTGAGGAAGCAAAAAATCCTTGCCATGTGGATGTTTGAAGTTAACGTAAGCGATTGGAAGGTCAAGATCACATATGGCAATATTTCTGTGCAATGCCTCTTCCAAAGTAAACCAGTTCTCACATGAGCATTGACAATTTGGTGATCACACACATCGGTATAAGAGGAACAAACATACGCACAACCCCACCCATCAATCGCCTGGCGCGCTTTCTTGACAGTTGCCAGGCTTTTGACTGGAGTTGTTTTGGTCGAAGGCGGCGGGGGTCGTTTGTTCGCAGCCTCCTGCATCTGGGCTTCTGTAGCCTCAGCCGGCAGGACTTGTTGGGTGGAGGGCACCATTGCAAAAGCTCTAGATGTGCCACAATACTTGTTTGTGGGTTGGGCTCCACGTTCTATACGAAGCAACGGGGACGGTGTCCTCTTCAAAAGCCATGGGCGTCTCAACAGGCTGTGCAACCTGAGAGGATGCATATACACATGCGCACACACTGGATGCCATATACAAGTGTTGGACCTATCTTGCAACCAGCTTTCACATATCATAAAACATTGATGGTACTCATGGGGCCCCCTTCTTGCCCGTACACCACACTGATAGTTTATTTAAATGTGATGGATCAAGTGGCATGCTCCTGCGACTCCATGTGCGCAAGATCTTTTTCCATGGCCTGGTGGCACTGCAGAGACACCCACCATGTAATCCCAACACATGGAAGTGGATGCTGGAAAGACCTGAAGACACCCAACAGCAAAGGAACCTGGTTGCATGGACACTCAACAAACCAGCCCCATCATGAGCGTGTGCCTCCAGTTGGGCCCGTTGCTTGGCCACCTCTTCCTTGATCTTCAGCAGGTTGTTGTTACCCGCCGCCAAAGATTCACAGCTCCACATGTTAGATTTCAATGGATGGGGCATATTGACACAAGGGCTAATCCCAACACACTTTCAAATCTTGGTCACTACAAATCGGCAAGGACGAGGGAGACTCTCACAAAAACTGGCCTCAATCCTGCGCACATGCAAGTCATGAGCATGACACTTGTCACTTGATCAAACAGAGTCGCACTATTTCTTCAAACCACCAATGAGGAGTTGTAAATCCGAGTGAATTTCCAAACCAGGCATCGGGCGTGGGCAAGTTGAGCATTATAGAAACAGACCAATTCCAAACCAAAAGGCCTTATAGGGAGGTACCTTGCCCTACGGGAAAACTACGTAATTTTCTACGGATTTTTATGGGTCATCCACGGGCAAATTATGGGTTATCTACGGCTACGGATTTTTTTACGGGTTCCCTACGCCCAAAAACCTGGTTTTTGAAGATCTGGACAAAATCTGTCTTGCAGCGAATTGCAGGTGACATACCATGGTCCTACAGCGAGTCATGGAGGAGACGGCGCGGCGCATTCAATTTCCTTAAGAATTTGTTGGAAGCAAAAGTGGTTTCCATTCAGGTGGCACTTTCAAATGACGATTGCCATACAAGTACTTGAGGCATTCGTCCATGCCACAATCAACCCAAAGATCTGTAAATGCTTGTTCTTGGTAACAAGCCAAAGGGTTAAAGGACTCGGGAACCGGTGGGAATGTCCTGCACCCAGTGCTTTGGAGGTCATTCACAATGCGAAGGATGCGCAATCCAAACTTGTACGGGTACGTCCTTGGATCAAAATCTGCAACACAGCTGACCAATCACCAGCATGCACAGGCTTTTCAAACCAATTGGAAATTTCAGAATGGCTGCAGTGGATGGGTTTTGACTTCCTCCATGTCCAACCGTCCAACCACCGATACATGGCAGAGCACAGCCGTTTGCCTTTGGTCATGTATATATTTCACAATCCCTGTCATATTTCTGACCCCCTTGCCGGCTTTTGTATATACTTATAATTGTATCATTTATATATGATGTAAGAGTTGGCAGTAGAACTAAAACCATATGCCCCAAACCTATGAGCAAACAGTTAATGTCCTCCAATATGTGTTGGATTGTATTCCCCACTGTGGCTGTACCGCGAAACAGTTTTACCACTAGTGGTTGTGGTTGCGGTGGTGGTTATCAACAGATGCTTCACATGTTCAGGCCCTTCCTCAGTCCATAAAGCATGGGGCATGGCAATTTGAGTTTATGTTTGTTCGGGCATGTCAAAACTCGATCCTATAGCTTGAAATATGAACTCACACACCCGCGTCTACAATCCCTTGTAACAGCAAGGTTCGTTTGTATAGCAGCCTTGGAAAACCCACCGTTCATTAGAGCTAAGCCACTGGGAAGCTTTGAGCTGCTGCTTGCGACCCTGAAAAGTCTTCTTTCCAGACTTGGACACCCCAGTCACCGCAGTCTTGTGCTTGTCGTAATCCCGGCCACGCATCGATGCCCAGCTGAGCTTTCCCCGGTTCAGCAATCCCACTTTGGGACTACTGCTCCAAGCAACATGGCGTTTGGGAGTTTTCGCACCGTAGTGTCCCATCCACCATCGGGCACTCCATGCCTGAGGATGTCCAGATTAACGCTTTCTAAAAAGGTTAACATGCAGATTTGGTCTAATTCCCAGATTGAAACGGCAAAACAAGTCCATGCGCTATAGTCAGACTCCACCCCATACTGTTGGCAAAGGTGCTCGGAAGATGCTAAAGGTCCACATGACTCTTGGGTGGAAGCGTAGTAATGAATTTGAGGGCTGCTCAACCAGCCAGCATCCGCCCATCACCTCCACCAAGTAAATGAGGAGGCACATCCTCAGCATCGAGGCGCAGTCGGGGACCACGGACGAGGAATCAGGTTTGTGAATATCGGGCCCAAAGACCATGTATAACAGACCGTGCAAGCATGATCACGCATGGTCAAAAGTACCAAATGGTATGCTTCCCACTCAAAATTACAAAAGGGAATATTTGTACAAAGGGGTATTCGACGGATAGGAAGGGACACCCTTGCAAAGCCTTTCACCGATTCAGCTAATCTTCCGCCCTGCCATAGCATTTGCTTGTTGTACATACTCTCGATCATTCCCAAGAGGGTGCACGACATGCCTCCCGGATGTTGCCATGTTGATAGTCGTCCATGATGAACACACAATAGCCATGAGGGCTGTGAATCTGCCGTTTTTGGCATTGAGCACAGCCGTGAGGCATAGCCTAGGCTATAGCTAAAAGGTCCATGTGGATGGCCGGAAGTCGGACTTTTATATGGATTTGCGTGGAATTATGCATTCTATATACGCCCACAAAAGCATATCCATGCATGCAGGTTGGCCATAATGACACTTATAGGTGAACATTGAACAAGACATTCATGTAAGCTACCTGTACAAACCCTACGGAAGAAACAGTCCATCGATAAACACATTCAAAAGCACTGAAGATCAGAGCATTTCTTTGCAGGCCAGAAACAAAAATCCGGATGGTGTCAATATGTCATAGTGGTTGGATCGTTTGGGGTTGTTGGCATCCACCCTATAGTAGTCTATGTCCAAAGCAGCAACATCCCTCCCAGAGTGACTCATCACCGTAGATGTGACAGCCTTGCCGGCCCAGAACTCCAAGAAGTCGAATCCCTGTCACGGATTGGGCGTGTCAGGCATACCAACTTCCGAGGACAATTGTTTACAGCTTCCAAGTTCCAAGGGTATATAGAAACCTGACTTTGAACTTCAGCTAGTTGAGTTTCGTATGTCTTTGCTCATAGAAGTCTATAGAGTGTTCCGCCACACACTGTATTGAACTGCGTGCCACGACCTCTATCAACACACTTTTAATGTGAGATCCTAATCCGAAAGATCTTAAGAATATCACAGCCAGACTATGTATAAACGCCTATACAAACACCATGAGATCCACAACGCGCAGCTGTGGATCTGGCCTCCGAAAGGGTTTCCACATTCTGAGACCACAGCAGCATCAGAACGATGCAGGTCAGCACCTCCAAGCCATGGTGGGCGAGGGTGGGACATTGTAAGGTGCATGACTGCATGCGCCTCTTTCCACCAAGACATTTATGATTGGGAGATTATATTGCTGCAAACAGCAAAGAGTGCGGAGACAACCCACGTTCAATTTGCAGAGTGTTGCAGTCACCTAAAATAACTCGGGATAGGTCCAGCCTTGGGAGCTCCCACATAGTGTAGCCGCCACACCAAATCGCGGAGGGTGAGCCGGGCCATCATAGAGTAGAGCTCTGAGGAGCCAGTGAACCCCACCACTTTCAGTCACAGAGCCAAATGCTATACCCTCACTGGAAAGCTTTGTTTGCGCAACACTCCAGGATTACATGTTCATTCTGCAATGTTGTGTCCAAGATGGAATACTGGAATGCTGTTTGAGAAATCTATGGACAAACAAGGCGACACCGATTTCAGAATCAACCACGCTTGCTCTGAACATTAATTTGGATTGGAAAGTGTTTGGCTTCTACGACCCCAAAACATTAAACAGACCTTGTATATGCAGCACGTGACATATGATCTATATGCACAAGTCCGACTCTTGGAGTGTGACCATGTGCAACCATGGTTTTGCCCAACCCAAAGACGACTTCAAAGGAGCCAGGTGTACCCTCTCGAGGGTCAATGCGATTCTCGAGCCTGACCTCCCAGGCTTTCCGCTTCGCGACCATTGTCCAACCTCGAAGCGGGGCAATGTGAGGCAAGGTGGTTTGGCGGGACCGGCTCGACGCAGGATGCATCATAGGATGTTTGGTCTCCTGTTCGATCCGCAAACACTGCAAACCCAATTATAGAAAGGGCATGCAAATTTTGGGAATCTGATTCCTGGAGACTGGAGACCATGGGAAGCAAATGTATAGACCTGAAATCCCATTGCTGACACAAATCCAAAACAGCAGCCAAAGGAAGTGAAGCAATCGTTCTATTCAGCGCTGGGTCCATTTTCAATTTCTCTCCGCAGGTTCCGGTGGCGTAATGGGTATGGCCAACACCCCTTGCCAAGCTGGAAGCACAATTGTTGTGTGACAATTATTGGAACAACCAACATCCGCAATGCAACCTTGCAGACCTTATAGCATCTCATACCCCTAACAGAAACAGCAATATTGAATCAGCCATATGTTGTATTGTTAGGCCCGGCGAAACCAAAGGTGCAACCTATGCGCATATACAGCGCACTCAATTCCTCAATTCCACAGAGCGGAGGACTGGTTGTTCCACTCCCCATGCAGCTTGGACTGTCTATGGGCACGGCCTCCCCATTCCTAACCACATGCCCCCTAAATCCTTGTAAATGTTGGTGGACAAGAGACATACGCGACAAGCTTGAAAGGAGCAGGGTCACTTCAAAACTGTTGGTTGCAAATTGAAGTGGGTGTATAAAACAGATGTAAACACATTGTATCACGCCTCGCATGTGTGTCCATCTCAAACAAAAATGTTGAACTCGCTTGGTTCAAGTGTCAACCATTTAAATTTCGATGTCCTCCAAACTCAAGCCGAGGGAATCAGCAATTCCAACAGCCTTCACAAGCTCCGTCAAGGAGTTCAAATAAGCCACAACCACCTCGTCATCAAGGGGTTTGCACTTTGCCACCGGTTTGTCACCACCAACGAAGTTGATCTCAGTCGATCGATGACAGAAACACCAGGAAGGTTCAACTTTAAGCTCGGCCAGCACATATAAGTCTACCAACAAACAGACCAAAATCAAAGCTGTCAAAGACAGGCGCTAAGGAGATCGACGCAGTATTTCAACATGTGCGATTCAAACATCAAATCTCCTTCAACATCAAATTTCCAAATGCAGGGGTTGAGAGGCCACAAAAACACTATAGCGCGTGCAGGTACCCTTACACTATAGCCCTTTGTGGCCCCTCAACCTGTCTTCGAATCCTTGAATCTAGGCCCGATGGATTTGATCCAACACAATTGCAAACAGGTTGTCCCCTTTATAGCGGTTTGTCATAGCCTGGAAGAGTAGATGTGGGATTGGCCATGTTTGTATATCAATCAATTAAGTGGCAAACAACTGGCATGCCAAGTGGCAAACATACGGGCTGCGTGGGCACACATCGCAATGTTCTTGCACCAAGTGCACCCGAAGGACGTGACATGGACAAAGCCCGACTCCTGCTTCTGGAGCAGCCCCACCCTCTTGGTTTGCCAATACATGCTAAGGCTCCAAAAATCATATTTGGGCACCTCCTTCTTGTCAGTGAGCTTGTGGAATTTCAGAGCCTTGTGCAGCTCTTGGACATGGAACCAGACAGCTGGGTCAGCCTTGGACTCCTTCAAAAGCTTGAGAGCAGGCTTCTGGATCCTCTGACCTGGGAGGCGTTGCGCAGGCTCCATCTTTCCATCGGCTGCCACCTTTCCATCATCCGGTTCTGGGGCAGACCCACCTGCCTCAGCTTCGGGTTGGGCAGGCTCTGCAGGCTGGGAAGGAGCTGCCTTCGCCTTTGCTTTTCCCTGCGCTTTGGCTTTGGCCCTCTTCTTGGGCTGCTTCGTTGAGGAAGAAGCTGCCTCAGGCACAGGAGGCTCAGCAGCAGGGTCTGGAAACAGCTCGCGTCTCTCAGGAGTGTTGGCCTGGGACTCAACCGGGGGTCTCTTCGAAGGAACCTTTTTCTCTGGAGTGGATGCCAGCTTCTCCTCAGCCTTCCTACCACGGCCACGTCCGCGACCTCGTCCACGGCCACCTCTCCCACCATTCTCCTTTTTCTCCTCGTTCAAATCAGCAATCTGCCCAAGTTGCTGTCGACGAGTGAGAACCTAGAGGGCTGCAGGCCCCTTCATGATACAGGCATGCCTTTGTGTATCAACTGTTGAACTTGTTCAGAAAAGTTCAATGAAGAAACGAGCTATATATATTGGCACCAGGCTCGGTAGAACATAACAAACAGAGAGCTATACAACCTCTAATTTAATACAAGAAACTGGACTTCTCAAATTGCAAAAAGCTTTAAATTTAGTGTTTGATACCTTATGCTTTCTCATTTGATAGCTTTTCGTGCTTGATTCTATGTTGTACCCTTCTCCCTGACCTCCTGATCCTTTGTCTCGACTTCAGGGAGTTGAGCAGCATCCGCTTGTTCGCCCCTCGCAATCATCCCCTCTACCGATGCTGTTACACCAGAGGACAGATCCATGGGAATAGTGGGATCTGAATCTTGACCATATGGGAGCGATTCATCGACGAGAACCGATGAAGTTGAAGAGCTCTTCAAATCTGCAGCGATGACAGCATGGCATGACCTGGGCAAGCTGTGGAATGCAGGAACACCCTTCAAGATTTGTTTGTGGAGCAAATGCAGCTTGAATTATATTTGCTCAAAAAGGATCCCATTATAGTTTAATCCAAGCACACCCCATGGCACATATGAAAAATATACATGATGATTTCATGAAATAAGGGAAATGAAATGTATTCAAGCTGCATGGCTTTGCATTCCCCTTTAAACAAGATGTCACATTCAGGTCGTGGAACTACTATACTGATTGAACCCATTCATTGTGTGCATTAACATCCCTTGGTTGACACACACACACATGAACTGCATGGTGTCACAAGTAAGCACCCCACGCGGCTTTGGCCATTTGAAGCTCCAAAGTCTTAAGGTGCTCTCGGAGTTGCGCGATCTGCTCTACCTTCTTGGCCTTCGTGTCGTTTGATGGATTCTTGTCATCCTCGCCCAGCACCTCAACCTTGACAGGGGATTCCTCAATCATAAGCACATTTGATCCACTGGATGGACCTGTTGTCATGCTCCGCTGAAGTGGCCGGGCAACAGGACGCGTGCATTCATCCGGTTCGACCTTGTCTGGCAAAGCCTTTGGGGCATCTGCCTCAGAGCCCAAATTCGAAGAACTCTTGAGGAAGTTGTCAAACCATTCATCCACATCGGAATCCTGTTCGTAATCCTGAGGATCGTAGACCAGCCCATCGCCATCACATCCCGACTCCCCATCCCCTTCTGACTCAGCACCATCCGGGCTCCATTGGTTGTAGGGCTGCAGGGTTTGCAAACTCTTTCGATGAAAGTTCATGCTTCTATAGAAGAAAGCCTTTGGTATAGAAAGCTTTGGCAAACCAGTAAAGTTGTAGTCGATCCAGTATGAATGTGCGCAAATCCCCCACGAGTTTATATTGTTGTGTGTGCAATGTGAAAATTTGACAACTATATTTAAAACGGGCCTGGATGGTTGGATCCAATATGCGCTGAAGACTCAGGAAATGCAAGTCCTTGACAAAGGGAGCACATCAACAATTTGACATGACGAAGGGACGGTATATGAAACCCTTTGAATTGGCCATTCAAATTTTACCATGTTGGCATGTTAAAGCATGTGAGTGGGATATGCGAGCTATGCAAAGGCATTTTCTCCTTCACTTGCATTCATATATACAGACAAAATTTGGGGCCAAGGAACTGCGTGTATGGTTTTACTGAAGTAAAAAGCTTGCTGTGCAAAAACACAAAACAGGTGAATGAATTCCAAAACATACAAATTTCACCTCAAAGCTACATGAGATCCCAGGTTCTTGTGAGTTTTCATCTTCACAAAGCTCAGCATAGATTTTGCTGTCCAGGCATCAAGCTTCACCTTGTCCTTCTGCGGGATGAGATTCATCTTGGATCTGAAGAGCTTGATCCTTGTGAGGCCCAGGGGCATGGCATGGCAGTGAAGAAACAAATTGTTTAGAGGGGACAGGCCAAATAAAGACCCCATTGGAGCACTAAAGACCTAAGCAAAATAATTATGGTAAAGCGGTCAGCGCTATACCACTGTTTTTGTTTTCCCATCGGCAATCGAAACAAGTAGACATATGTTGGAGGACTGACACGGAAACTATATACAAATGGATCAGATGGCCTGTGTCTTTTTGCATGTATATATAGGTTCAAGAGCTATACTGGCGTATGTCACTATATATACACACGCGTTTCCCAATTCCAGATGAGTTTCTCCCGGGCCAAGTCTTTGACATAGGGGACAGGATGATGAGTGTGCTCCACCATTCTCTCCAACAGCGGTTTCAACACATACATGTTGTGCACAGTATCCCGGATGTTCATCCGAATCCCACGTGGCTGATCAGTAGGGGTTTTGGCTGCTGAGGGTTCGAAAAGCCGGTCTGCCCGCACAGCTACCATCCGTACGCTGGCCTCTTCCTTCCACACCTTGTAAACATCCTCCACCGAGCAGGTCGCCAAATCATTGCCATCTCGGTCTTTGAATGGCATTGCTGAAGGCAAAGCTGGGGACGGATTGGTGTTTGAGCTCCCAGGTCCCAGAAGGCTGCAGCGCATGTATACGTGGACTTCACACATCATTTGGAGCATTGTGCCACAGAGATTTGGTGTAAGAAACAATTAAAAGAATAGTATTAAAGATCATGTATACTTGAAAGATCTTGAAAGGGCTGAGTCCAATGGGGAGCTGAGGGAAAGTAGCTGAAATGCTCATGATACATAAGATGAATGAGCTTTCCCTTGCCCCAAACTCCTGCGTCGATCCAGGATGATGTGCTGGGGCACCAGACTGACTTCCAGAAGCAGATCTCCCGGAGAAAAAGAGCACGAGTGGTCATGGCACTGCTCGCACGGCTGGTGGTACACGGAGGGCCCCAAAACCGAGCCCTTAAGGTGTTTTTCACTTCCATCTAAGTTTGAGGAGTCCCTGTGGAACACCGTTGAGCATGGAAGTCATGCCTGTGGAAGGCAATTGGAAAGAATCTCACGCATCTTGGATTATTTGGGAACAAACACATTAAACTCATTAATGTCTTGAATCATTACTCAGCCAAATGGCTTCAAAATAGAAAAGCCCAACATCTTGTATTGGGCAAGAACAGCAAAAACCTGGTTTTTGCATGTGTCCATTAACGACCCTTCAGACTACGGGTCACTGTTCTGGAAACCAGGTTTTGATCAAATAGCCTCGATTTTGCCCATAGGGGCAAGCCCATGGTAGACAATGTTTGACATGTTTTAGGTGATTCACTGAGAGCAACTGAGTCCTTTAAATATTTGTTGCTTGCGTCATTCAGATGCTTTTTTTACAGTAAGCGTAGCCCTTTGAATGCCAGCAAACAATTGCTTTTGGCCGTGTCGCTTGTGGCAACATGCTTGGGCACGTGTATACACACTGAGCAGACTGGTCGCCAGCACACACAGACTGGTTTCATTTTCCACATGGCCAGCTTGTGAAGCACCAGGTTGTGAAGCTTTTTCGAGGGTCAGAGCCCTAGTCATACCAGTATAATATATGTGTTGAAAAGTTGAAAAGGGATGATGTGGGATTGCAATTACGTAGTATATAGTAGTATTTTGAAGCTCTCTCTCCCTCTCTCTCTTTCTCTACATCGTGTCATGTGGGTTCTTTGGGGTCTATTCGGTTCATGCCAAGCTGAAAGCACAGTGCCCAACCAATTTCTTTCTCCACGCAGTAGAGGCTCAAAGGTGTGCATGATGCAACGAACATAGAGGTCAAATCGGAAACCCAGCGGTCCAAGTGTCGCCACCCAGAGGGCATCTCCACGTGGAGAGGTGTTTGTTCTTCGGGGGGGGTCAGTGCTGCATTCATGTCCACTAGTTTTCAAAAAGGATCCACTTGTCTATCATGTACAGTAATTAATATGACTCAGGGGACTCAGGGGTAGTGGTTACCCACAGGGTTGGTGCTTCATGAATGCATGACCCGTTGTGCCACACACAAGTACCACTTCGGCAGAGCTCGTACAAGTAAGTCGCATCTTTGCCCGTAGAACGTCAGAGCCGGTGATGTCGGACGGGGAAGAGCCGGTGGAAACATCATTCTTCATCCGGTGATGTCGTGAAAGTGTGGTGACGTTGTTGTTTTGTGAGTGGTGTGATGCTGACGTAACTGACGTAACTGACGTAACTGTGATACATGGTGAAGTGTGGATACTTGGTGATGTTGACGTGATCGTGTGGTGTTTTGGGTGTTTTTCCAAGAATGAATGTAGTGTTTCGTTTAGAGCGTCATGCGGCGGTTCATTGATGTGATTGTTTTTGGCGCGCACAGGCGGTGGTGCATCTCTTTGCAACCTTTGGAGAATCAGAAACAGTTCCCCTTGCATTTTCTTGTGGATGAGGGTGGCATACACTTTACGAAGCACACACACGCAGGGCGCATCCATTTCAGTGCAATTTCAATTGGAGGCCTTGCATTCCCAATCCATGAGTGCCACATCCGCACCAAATTCCGAAAGACTGTTTGTTCCAGGGATTTCCAGGGTACTCTACCGTTCGGATCTTTGTCTTTTACAACTGTAATGTACCCCTGTTGCACTCACACGCTTGCACACCCTTATGCACCCGATCTCTTGGCAACTGTTTGGCCCTCAGAGCTTTTTTTTTTTACACTTCCTTTGATAATGGCTGCAAGCAAAGGCCTTTTTCTGGTACCATTGGAGCAAAGATCTTTTGAAATGACCTTTGGCAAGTTAAGATCCGATGTTTTCTCCCGCCGCCATCAGTTCGCCGTTGCATCGAGAACTGCGGCATCAACAAAGGAACCCCAGTTGTCTTGGGGTTTCTTCACTCCTGGTTAGTCATGTGTTCACCCATGCAGCAACACAGCACGTTCAGCAACCACTCAAGCTGTCAAGGCCATCACCGAAGGCTTTGACAAAGTTGTTTTGATTTCATTCCTTTGTCCTCTTTCAGCCTTTTCAGAGACGGATTTTACAAAACTTGTGAGGATCTCAGGGACTCGTTGATGAAGCAGAGAGCCATCGAGGTCGGTTCCAGACAGCCGTGCGGCATTTGTTTTGCTCGAGTTTGCTTTGATGAGTTATTGATGTCGAGGGCGCTCCGAATCATCGAGGGCGCTCCGAATCGGTGCATTGCTAGTGGGTTGGACCGAGGTAAAATTGGGTTCAAATCAATAATCATGGTTAACATTGTGTTTGCCATACCCCTTTTTTTTCAAGTTTCGTGATTTCTAGAATAAAGCCACCTCTGGTGGACACATGGTTAAAATAAAGCGCATCCGTTAAGGTAGTTCCATGTCGGTTTCTCAAGCGAGTAATATCCAATTCTGGCTAATAGAAGCCTCCCTGGATAGTCATGTGTTTTTCATCTCCGGAACTTTGAACGTCTTGCGGCTGTTCTCAAAGTCACTGAAGCTCAAAATTGAGTTGTTGTGCTGCTGAGACCTCTGCGTGGGAGTCTCTGAGAGAAGCAGAGCAACTGGAAGATGAGGCCGGAACGACCACCAGCACCAACAGCAGGATCATCAAAACTCATGCGCGAGCGCGATGCACATCGATATGAAAGGAACTTTAGACGTTTTACTGTTTAATGATTTGTCTAGAGATGTAAGCCGTGGACATTGAATCCGAAGAATAGCTGGTCAACTATGCTGCAGCCGTGGCCAGTCGCTGCAGATAATTTTTTCCATGCTGCCATTCGGGCATGCGGGATCCTTTGAGAGCTGCCTTTGTCCAAGTTTGCCTGCTTTCCAGGTGCAACTGCAGATCCATGTGCGGCACGCGCACATCGAGGAGGTTTCAACCGGGCACATCGTGTGGTCGATGAAGACCGCCCCCAGACTACCATTCCGGGGGGTGAATCCAGAGCTTAGCTCGAGCCGATAGTGTTTCTTGTCGGTGCAGGGCTCGATTTTCCAGAAAGATGTTCCTTGGGTGAATGTCATGGATGGTGAATCAAGTGTGCATGCAGACCAGAGGGTTGACAAGTCCGCAGGTGCATGCAGCTCGAGTGTTAGACCCTCCTTCCAATGTAAGGATTTGTGTAGCAATCAAGTGATTATCAAGTGAGGTCAAGCACCGGTGGCCGCATCAGAGATTGTCAGGCAGATGAGGAGCTGCTCCGTCTTCAGCTCTTGAACAATGAGGAGGACACATGGCCAAAGGCTTTCAGCAGCATTCGATTCTCCACAGCATTCTTTTGATTGCCTTTTGGGTAATGAGTTTCCGCCAATGTTTGCAGAACTCACATACTTGCGTTTTTTCGAGCATGTGCAACATTTGTTGAGCTCCTTTGCATTAAACATGT